TCTTCCCTGGGTTCATATCTTTTTTTTTTATGCTTATGTGCTTTGTGACACCTGAGCCATTTTTTCCCCATGTTTTGGTCAGAATCTCTGTTAATTTGGGTGACTTAGTAACCCATGTAACTAAAGGGAAGTGTGTGTGTGTGGTGTGTGTGTGTGTAGAGATCAATGACATTAACCTCTTAAACAGAGTATTTCTGTCCTGGACACCAGATGGATATTTCCATTTCTTGGGTTCAGAGCCTGGCCCTTCTGTCATTCCCCGTAAGAGAGTGAAAAAATCAAAGCAAAGGTTCCTGAACATTGGTCCTGTTTCCACTCAGTAAAGCCAGGTAAGAACTAGATACATGGTTTGGTTACAAATCCAGCAGTAGAGATGAGGTCTGAGTTTCTCACAGTCTGTGTTGGGGTCTAAACTGCTGAGTTCTCCATCAAGTCCCCAGTGCTCAATATTTGTAATGGGGAGCACTCCTCTCTGTCTTTTTCTTATGAGTTGCCTTTTAATCTGAGGTGCCAGGGAGTAGAAGCGCTATCTTAACCTCTTCACTTGGAATTTGTTCTTCAGTGGATGTCATAATGAATTTAACCCTAGCCAGAGTAGAATGGCTTCCACCATATAAGAAAATAGGGGAGAAGGGGATAAAAGAGGGGGGAATGATAGAAGGGAGAGCAGATTGGGAGATAGGGTAATCAGAAGCAAACACTTTTGAGGAGGGACAGGGTCAAAGAAGAAAATAGAATAATTGGGCGGGGATTGAATAGGATCCAAAGAAATAGAGTTAGTTTTTTAAAAACATGGCTATTATGGAGGTGTTCGGCATGACTACATATGTACAACCTGTGTGGAGTTGCTTGCCTTCTCAATGAGGGTTGAGGGGAGGAAGGAAGGAAGAAAATTTGGAAACTACAGTTTTAAAAACAAATGTTAAAAATGTTTTTACATGAAGCTTTGAAATAAGATAAACAGGTAATGGGATATGTAAATCTATGCTGCCCTACAGGATAAAAATTTAAAAAAAAGAAAAAAAAAAGAAAAAGGAAAAGGATTTACAAAGTATACTCCCTGTAAAGCTTTCTAAGGTAGGTAATACAAACATTGTTGCCTAAATTCTATAGATGGGGACATTGAGCCCCTAGTGATCAGCCATTCTAACCCTATGTATACACCTGGCAATTCAGAGGTGACGATGAGAAGCAGGGACAGTATGGTGCAGGGGCCTGTTCTATGGCTTCCCAGTCCCTGGGTCCTTGAAGGCCAACTTCCTTGTAGAAATAAAAAGTGCAAATAACAATGTTTTAGATTTTCTAATGTTCAGCTTCTGTTGGCCTGCACTCTGTGGGATGAGATCACAGATGAAAACAAGAATGGTTACAGGATCTAATCTCATCACCTCACACTACTTTTGACTTCCTTTCTTATCCATCTCTTTCAATATTCTTTTAACATTCCCATCACTACTTCTGAGTAGGAAAACTAGATCAGGAAAATTCCATCTCCCTGAGGGGCTAGAGATTTGCCTTGTACCCCTTTCCAAAGAGATCTAGTTTTGTTTGTTTGTTTGTTTTGAACTTAGTGGATGAAGTACTGATTAAGTACTAGTGAATTCATCACTAATGGAAGAACTTTAGATACTGGTCCACTTGGCTAAAATCAAGTCATATCACCTAGCATGTATTAAGCACCGAGTGTGTGCCAGACACTGCTCTAAACACTGGGGATGCAAAGAACGGGGGAAAAAGCAGTCCCTGAGGTCAGGGAGCTTACAGTCTAATGGAGAAGACAACATGGACACCACTATATATAAAGAAGATATATTCAGGAAACAATTTTGGTAGTCTCAGAGGGAAGACACAAAAATTAAAGAAGGTTATGAAAAGCTTCTTGCACAAAGTAATGAAGAGATTATCTGAGGCCTGAAGGAAGCCAAGAAATTCAGGAGGCAGAGATGAGGAGGGAGAGCTTTCCAGGCATGGAGGACAGCCAGTGCAAATGCCCAGAGTCAGGAGATGGAGTGTAGTATGTGAGAATCAGTAATGAGCCAAGTGTCACTAGATCTTGGAATACATGGAAGGGAGGAAGATGTGAGAAAACTGTAGAGGTAAAAAGGGGCCAAATTAAAAAGGGCCTTAAATGTAAAGCAGAAGAATTTCAATTAGATCTTGGCGACAACAGAGAGCCATGGGGTTTATGGAATGTTGGAGGGGAAGATTTGGTCACTCCTGTGCTCCAGGAAGATCAGTTTTCAATGGAGGATGGACTGGAGTGGGGAGAGATGAGTCAGGGAGACCAACTAGCAAGCTCCTGCACTAGTTCAGCTGTGAAGTAATGAGAGTATGGACCAGGCTGGTGGCAGTGGCAGAAGAGAGAAGGAAAAGTATAAAGAGAGATGATATGAAGGCAGAAATTATAGACTTTGATAATAAAAGGGGAGGGGAGGGAGAGTGAGAGACAGTGAGGAGTCAAGGAGGACACCTCACTTGCAAGCTTGTAGGACCAGATGGTATCCCATTGATAAGGAAATTAGGAAAAGAAATGAGTGGAGTGGGCGGAGGGGAGAGTGAAGATAATGAGTCAATTTAGGATATTTTGAGTTTAAGATATCTATGGGACAACCAGTTTGACAATGCCATTAGGCAGTTGGTGATGAGAGAGTGGAAATCAGGAGAGGGGTTAGGGCTGCTTTAATAGATTTGAGAGTCATCTTTATAGAGATGATAATTTAATCTATGGGAGCTGATGAGATTGTCAAATGAAACGTTAAAGAGGAAAAAGAGAAGAGAGCCCACAGCCTGGCAGGACCCCCCAGAATTAGTGGGTGTGACATCGATGAAGATCCAGCTAAAAAGACCAGGGAGAGGCCAGACAGGATGAAGGAAAGCCAGGAGAGAGTAGAGTCATGAAAACTTATAGAAAGGAGAGAATCGAGGAGAAGGGGTGGCCAATAATGTTAAGGGCCACAGGGAAAAACTTGGAGTGGCAGGGCCTCACAAATCTCACTAATGCACTAATGGAAGTTAATCAGTACTTCATCCACTAAGTTCAAAACAAACAAACAAACAAAACTAGATCTCTTTGGAAAGGGGTACAAGGCAAATCTCTAGCCCCTCAGGGAGATGGAATTTTCTGATCTAGTTTTCCTACTCAGAAGTAGTGATGGGAATGTTAAAAGAATATTGAAAGAGATGGATAAGAAAGGAAGTCAAAAGTAGTGTGAGGTGATGAGATTAGATCCTGTAACCATTCTTGTTTTCATCTGTGATCTCATCCCACAGAGTGCAGGCCAACAGAAGCTGAACATTAGAAAATCTAAAACATTGTTATTTGCACTTTTTATTTCTACAAGGAAGTTGGCCTTCAAGGACCCAGGGACTGGGAAGCCATAGAACAGGCCCCTGCACCATACTGTCCCTGCTTCTCATCGTCACCTCTGAATTGCCAGGTGTATACATAGGGTTAGAATGGCTGATCACTAGGGGCTCAATGTCCCCATCTATAGAATTTAGGCAACAATGTTTGTATTACCTACCTTAGAAAGCTTTACAGGGAGTATACTTTGTAAATCCTTTTCCTTTTTCTTTTTTTTTTTTTTTAAATTTAAATTTTTATCCTGTAGGGCAGCATAGATTTACATATCCCATTACCTGTTTATCTTATTTCAAAGCTTCATGTAAAAACTATTTTTAACATTTGTTTTTAAAACTGTAGTTTCCAAATTTTCTTCCTTCCTTCCTCCCCTCAACCCTCATTGAGAAGGCAAGCAACTCCATACAGGTTGTACATATGTAGTCATGCCGAACACCTCCATAATAGCCATGTTTTTAAAAAACTAACTCTATTTCTTTGGATCCTATTCAATCCCCGCCCAATTATTCTATTTTCTTCTTTGACCCTGTCCCTCCTCAAAAGTGTTTGCTTCTGATTACCCTATCTCCCAATCTGTTCTCCCTTCTATCATTCCCCCTCTTTTATCCCCTTCTCCCCTATTTTCTTATATGGTAAGATATATTGTCATACCCAAATGAGAGTAAGACTCACTCATTCTCTCTCATCACTCCCCTCTCCCCCCAAACTGTGAAAGCTTTTTCTTGTCTCTCTTATGTGAGATAAAATACCCCATTTTACCTCACCCTTTCTCCTTCTACCACTACAATCCTTTCTCACACCTTAATTTTATTTTTTAGATAACATCCCTTCATATTCAACTCACCCTGGTGCCCTCTGTCTATGTATATTCCTTCCAGCTACTCTAAAACTGAGAAAGGTCATATGAGTTACAAATTTCATCTTTCCATGTAGAAATGTAAACAGTTCAACCTTGATAAATCCCTTATGATGTCTCTTTCCTGTTAACCTTTTCATGCTTCTCTGGAGTCTTTATTTGAAATTCAAATTTTCTGTTCAGCTCTGGTCTTTTCATCAAGAATGCTTCCAAGTCCTCTATTTCATTGAATATCCATTTTTGCCAGAGGGATTATACTCAATTTGGCTGGGTAGGTGATTCTTGTTTGTAATCCTATCTCCTTCAAACTCTGGAATGTCATATTCCAGACCCTCCAGGCTCTTAGTGTAGAAGCTACTAAATCTTGTGTTATCTGATTGTGTTTCAACAATACTTGAACTGTTTCTTTCTGGCTGCTTGCAATATTTTCTCCTTGCCCTGGGAATTCTGGAATTTGGCTACAATATTCCTAGGAGTTTTCCTTTGGCGATCTCTTTTAGGAAGTGATTGGTGGATTCTTTCAATTTCTATTTTACCCTCTGGTTCTAGAATATCTGGGCAGTTTTCATTGATAATTTCTTGAAAGATGTTGTCTAGGTTCTTTTTTTGATCAGGGGTTTCAGGTAGTCCAATAATTTTAAAATTATCTCTCCTGGACCTGATTTCCAGTTCAGTTGTTTTTTCAGTGAGATATTTCACATTGTCTTCTATTTTTTCATTCTTTTGGTTTTGTTTTATAATTTCTTGATTTCTTACAAAGTCATTAGCTTTCATTTTCACCATTCTATTTTTTTTTAGCCTCAAAAGTGGAGGGGGATGTTTAATAGGGGCCTAAACCCCTCAACCTTGGAGGAGCTTCTTCCCAATCCCTTTTTGACTTTTCATCCTGGTGGCAGGCACTTCTGCATCCCTTAAGGGCCATTCCTGGGCTCAGGCTTGTGGCATCCTCAGCTCTCAGCAAGCAGAAGAGACAAGTATGAAAATGCTCCTCTCGAGCACAGAGCCATCTGCAGCGGGGCCGTGCCACCTCACTCCTGCTTCTTGGAGTTATTGATCACCACGTAGTCATAGAGGAGCAGAAGCAGGAAGAGGAACATGCCCAGCATGTTGGTGAAGATGGCCATCTGCACTTCCATGATCATTTTGTTTCTTGGCATTCCCACAGTGCTTGCAGAAAGGGAACAGCTTTGCAGTGCCGGACTGCAACTACAAGAAGTCTGCATGCATCAAGGAAATGTGGCTGGCCTGGAGTGGCAAGCAGAGCAAATGGCCACTCTAGTCCCTCACTCTGCCACCTCTGTGCCATTCTAATTTTTAAGAAATTATTTTCTTCAGTGAGCTTTTCATCTTCCTTTTCCATTTGGCCAGTTCTGCTTTTTAATACATTCTTCTCCTCATTGGCTTTTTGGTCCTCTTTTCAGTTAGGCTATTTTTCCAGGTGTTATTTTCTTTAATATTTTTAGGTCTCCTTTAACAAGCTGTTGACTTGTTTTTCATGATTTTCTTGCATCACTCTCATTTCTCTTCACACTTTTTCCTTTACCTCTTTTACTTGCTTCTCAAAATCTTTTTTGAGCTCTTCCATGGCCTGGGAGTGATTCATATTTTTTCTTGGAGGCTTTGGATGTAGGACCTTTGACTATGTTGTCTTCTTCTGGTTCTATATATTGTTCTTCTTTTGTCACCAAAGTTAGGTTCTATAGTCTGACTTTTTTGTTCTGTGTGCGCATGTTCCCACCCAATTACTTGTGTTTTAAACTCTTTGTGAAGGTAAGTGTCTGCTTGCAGTGTGGAGATTGTACTGGCCCAAGCTTGAGGGGTTTTGTGTAGCTGTTTTAAGAGATACTTCTAGGGACCTGTAAATTTTCAGGTCTTCCAAGGTGGTATGATCAAAGGAGAGGTGTTTACTCCTTTTATGGCCTGTGCTCTGGTCTGTGAGTGACCACAAGCACTCTTTTCTGCCTTGGAAATTTGAGGAGGAATCTCTCTTCACCACTGCCACAAGCTCCACCATGCCAGCTGTCCTCCTTGCCCCAGGACTGCCACTCGGGACTGTGACCCAAATCCAATCACGGGCAAAGCAAGAGAGTCCTGCCTCAGCACCAGCAAAGAGTTCCCTGCAGTCCCCCACTGACCAGCCACTCCATCTCCCCATCATCTGTGGTCCAAGAGCTCCAGAAGCAGCTGCTGCCTTGAGGCTGTGCCAGTACTAGGGCTGGACTGCTTTCCTCTCTCACCCAGGTTTGAGAGACCTTTCCTAATGACCTTCCAAGTTGTCTTTGGTTTTTGTGGGTTGAGAAATTTGGAAACCGCTCCAGCTGCTAATGATTCAGTCCTCTGAGGCCTACTCCAGGTTCACTGAGGCTCTATCTTTGTCTGTGCAGCCCATGCTAAACTGTGCTCCTCTCCCAGCCTGGCACAACAGACCTTTCCCATCAACCATCTAGATTGTCTTCTGCTGGAACTTTGTTTCAATCTGTCTTTTTGCATGTTCTGCCACTCTCAAATATTTTTAGAGGTATTTGGGGGGGTTTGGGAGAGAGTTCAAGTAAGTCACTGTTTTTACTCCCCCATCTTGGCTTGCCACCCCCCCCCACACACACACACACTTGCAGGGCTTTCTTTATGACCTGGGAGCATAAGGAGTTTTCATTTTGGAGTTTCTTTCAAGAAATGATCAGTAGAGTCTTTCAAGTTGTACTTTGCCCTCTGATTCTAAGACTTCTGGGCATTTTACTTTTCTTTATAATATCTTAAACTATTATGTGAAGCCCTCTTTGTTGTTCCTGGTTTTTAGATTGTCCAATGACTCTTAAGTTATTTCTCCTCAATCCATTTCTAGGTCATTGTTTTTTACACGAGATATTACACACTTTTTTCTTTTTTTTCATTCTTTGAATTAATTTCATTTTTTCTTCTTGTCTCATAGAGTTGTTAGCTTCTGTTTGCTCAATTCTAATTTCTAAGTAGTTTTCATCAGTATTTTTTTACCTCTATTAAATCTTTCTTTCACTGTTCTTTTTCACTTCTTCTGCTTTCACTCTTAATTGTTTTTTAAAATTATTTTTGGATCCACATAAATCATCAGCATTTCTATATATTACCAACAAAGACCAATAGCAAGACATACAAAGAGAAATTCCATTTAAAATTACTTTAGACATCATAAAATATTTAGCAGTGTACCTAACAAAACAAACCCAGGAACAATATGAAAATAATTACAAAACACTTTTCACACAAATAAAGTGAGATCTCAATAATTAGGGAAAAAAATCAGTTGCTCACTGGTAGGCCGAGCTAATATAATAAAAATGACAATTCCACCTAAGCTAATTTAGTTATTCAGTGCCATACCAATCAAAATACTATATATATATATAATATTTTATAGAGCTAGAGAAAGTAAAATTCAGTTGGAATAACAAAAGTTCTAGAATATCAAGGAAAGTAGTGAAAAGAAATGCAGGGGAAGGAAGCCTAGCCATACCAGATCTTAAATAGCATTATAAAGCAGCAATCATCAAAACTGCTTGGTACTGGCTAAGATATAAAGGTGGTGGATCAGTGGAATAGGTTAGGTACGCAGGACACAGTAGGCAATGATTTTAGTAATCTACTACTTGATAAACACAATGATCCCAGCTTCTGGGATAACAACTCACTATTTGACAAAAACTGCTAGAAAAACTGGAAAAGAATATGGCAGAAACTAGTCTTAGACCAAAATGTACCATAAGAAAGTCAAAATGGATTCACAATTTAGGTATAAAGACTGATACTACAAGCAAACTGGGAGAGCAAGGAATAGTTTACCTGTCAGATTTATGGAGAACAGAAGAATTCATGACCAAACAGGAGATAGAGAACATTATGAACTGCAAAATGGTTAAATTTCATTACATTCAACTGAAAAGTTTTTTGCACAGACAAAGCCAATGCAACCAAGATTAGGAGGGAAGCAGGAAACTGGGAAAGAATTTTTAAAAGCAGTGTCTTTGATAAGGACCTAATTTTTAAAATATAGAGAGAACTAAGTCAAATTTACAAGAATACAAGTCATTCCCCAAGTGATAAGTGGTGAAACCTGACATGAACAGGCAGTTCTCAGATGAATAAATTAAAGCCATCTATAGTTACATGAAAAAGTGCTCTAAATCATTGTTGATTAGAGAAATGCAAATCAAAACAACTCTGAGGTAGCATATCACATCTATCAGATTAGTCAACATGATAAAACAGGAAAATGATAAATGTTGGAGAAGATGTGATGCTTTGTTGATGGAGTTGTGAAATGATCCAACCATTTTGGAGAGCAATTTGGAACTATGCCCAAAAGGCTATCAAAATGTGCATACTCTTTGACCCAGCAATAGCACTTCTAGTGCTGTATCCCAAAGAGATTGTACAAATGGGAAAAGGACCCACATGTACAAAAATATTTCTAGCAGTTTTTTTTTTATGGTGGCAAATAATTGGAAATTAAGGGGATGCACATCAATTGGATAATGACTGAATAAGTTGTGGTATATGAATATAATAGAATACTATTTTGCTATAAGAAATGATGAGCAAGTGGACTTCAGAAAAACCTGGATAGACTTCTATGGGCTGATGCTGAGTGAAATGAGCAGAACCAGGAGAACATTGTACACAGTAACAGCCACATTGTGCTATTGACTAACTTTGAGAGACTTAGCCATTCTCAGCAATGCAAGGGTCTAAGACATCTCCAAAAGTCTCATGCTGGAAAATGCTATCCACATCCAAAGAAAGAACTATGGAGTTTGAATGCAGATTGTAGCATATTATTTGCCAATTTTTTCCTTCTTTTTGGTTTTGTTTTCTCTTTCTTGTGGTTCCCTCTATCAGTTCTAATTGTTCCTTACATGACTAATGTGAAAATATGTTTAATAGGAATGCATATGTACAGCCTATATCAGATTATATGCTGTCTTGAGGAGAGAGGGGGATAAAAATTAAAAACTGAAAAGCTTATAGTAGTGGTTGTAGATAAATCAAAATAAATTAATAAAAAATCATTTTTGGGCGCACTTTTATCTTGTTCTTTAGTTCTTCTAGGAATTCTTGTTCATCTTATGGCCAATATTCCCTTTTTCTTTGAGGCTTTGCTTAAAGATGTTTTCAAGTCGTCGTCTTCTTTCTGTCTTGAGCTTCCCTGTTAGCACAGTAGCTCTTTACTGTCAGGTTCATTTTTTGTTCACTGATTCTTCCAGCCTGTTTCTTGACTATGAACTTTATGTTGATGTTGGGCTGTGCTCACCTCTAGGCTTTCTCAGTTCAGACTGCAAGTTTTCAGTGCTTCCAAAGTAGTATGATCTGTTCACTGCTCTCCTTGTCTGAGCTGTGCAAGTTCCTGACCCAGCTTTGGGTCTACTGGCTTGTGGGTGGTTGAGATTCTGTGGAATGTTACTGGACTCAGTCCCTGTTAGGCCACTTTGAGAATCTGTGGGTTCAGAGGTACTGAGCTTATTGACTCTTCTTGTGTCTGGGTCTCCTACCTCAAGTATCCCACTGCAAGCTCACATGCAGGACTAAAGGATAGCACTGAGCACCATGCTGTGCTCTGGGACTCAGTCCCCACAGCTCTGTTTGTAAAACATTCCTGTGTCAGTGCTCAGCTACGGCAACATTGCTCACTGGCTCACTCATGACTGGTCCTCTCTGCCCTACGTCTGTGGACCAGAGATGCCAGCTGGCCCCATTCCTGTTCCCAGCACTAGTATAGGGTCCCCTGGGACCTGCTCCTTCCCAGAGGTTCAGTCCCAGCCCTTTTACCATCCTTGGGCACTGAAAAGCTTTCCACTGACCTGACTGCCATTATGCTGGGCTCCTGGCCAGCCCCCAACCCAGTGTCCATAGCCCTCTCTTACTTCTTATGCTCTCTTGGGCTGGAAACATGACTCACAGTGACTTTGTCTTAGGTTTTCTGGTCAGAATGCAGTCTGGTACATTTTCTAGATTGTTAGAGAGGAGTTGAGCTGGGCTCTTTGCTATCTTGGCTCTGCCCCGTGTATATAAAAAGCAAGGTATGGTTGGGGGAGAATTCTGCATGCTTGGCCTCCTTTGCACCTCTTTGAGAGGTCACTGACCCAGCCTTTTGCCCTGAGCTCTCTTAGCTTATTTGCCATTTCAACCTTCATAATCCTGGCCACCCCAGGTCAGGCCCTCATCACTCTCTCCTAGGTCACTGCAGCAGACTCCTGAGTGGACTCCCTGCCTCCAGTCTATTCTTCACTCTGTTTCCAAAGGAACTTTCATGAAGCACAGGGAAGACCAGGTGACTTCCTCCTCAGCCAACTCCAGGGGCTCTCCTTTGACTCCAGAGTAAAATTGCCCTACTCTGTCTTTCCTGCCTTAGCCTCACTGGGACTCAGTCCTCCTTCCACACTCAGTGACCCTGCCAAAATCGCTGCCCCCATGCTGTGAATTGAGTCAGCCTTCCCTTTCCACTTCCAGTTCTAAGCCCCTTCCAGTTCTAAGCCCCTGCACCCAAGCTGGTACCCTTCCTTCCAATCCACACATATTTATTAAGCACTTACTATGTGCCAGGTCTTAGCCTAGGGCATATGAGTACAAAGAATAAAACAATTCCTGTTGGCAGGGAACTTACTTTCTAATGGGGAAGACCAAAAATGCATGCAAAAGTGTTCACAGCATCAATGTAAAATGAAGAAATACGTACCCACAAGTTTAAGACCAGGTGGTTTGGAATGTTCCTGTGTTCTCCATCAGGGCAGAAGTTCCAGTGGGTACAAAGGTTTCTTTCTTCATCCTGGTGTTGCCAGAACTCAGCCCTGTGCCTGGCACAGAGTAGGTGCTTAATAGATGTTGGAGTCTCTAATATCCCATGTTCCTTTCTCCTCCTAAGAGACTTTTCATCTTTGTGTGTTTTTTTTTGTTTTCAAGGCCGAACAGCTTGTCCTGTCCAGGGTTCATGCCCTAAGAAGGTGACTGAAGACGCTGGCTTCCAATACTCTAGCCTTTGACTGAAGGAGGCCACCAAGCTGGATGACCTGGAGCTATGGCAAAGAGCTAGTGGGAGTGGAGTTGGGAAAGGCCTGAACCACAAAGATATTTTGACTTTCCTGTAGGGCCCTGTGAGCCAATGGGGAGCCAACCTGGAGGACTTCTGAAGGGACACCACTGCCCACATCAAGGTGAGGAGAAAGCAGAATTTGCCCATTTATTCTCCTGAGAGGACCAGGTCACCAGAACCAGTGTCTCTTAGTTTGATCTCACAGGGCCCATGGTGGGGGCAGGCAAGTCTTGAGGTGAAGCAGTACTCTGGGATTGCCAGAACCTGCCAAGTTTTCTGGGTTTTGTCGAATGCCTGTATCCTTCTCTGTGTTCCCCAGGAAGCTCTGCCCACCCTCAAGGAAAAACATCAGCTAGTCTTTATCATATGCTAAAGAACATTCCTTGGGCATGCCAGGTAATACAAAAACTCAGATGCTTCTGGAAGCAGAGACAGTGGGGGTGGGTATCTTGGAAGGTTGCTTTTGGCTGAATCAGCATCCTTGAAAGGTTGATGCTGCTCTCAGGGGTCCTGGCACTTGCCTACAGGGTTCTGGCTGATTCCATACATGTCTGGGAGCATTTCAGATTGACATATTCTGCTCTCGCTGAGAGATGGCCACTTGCTAACAGAGCTGCCTAATGATCCTGGACCCCCTTGTGTGAAGGATGAGTATGGAGTTTACTGACCTCAAGCAACCTAGGCCCCCTCTTGCAGCTCCTCTCTGGAAGTGCTCCCATGTGCCTAGCACATACATGCAGGAAGACTAGGGAGGGATAAGACTGTCAATGAGAAGAATTTAAGAACTGAGTTGGAAACTCTCTTCAAGGGACTGAGAAATGACCTCACCAACTGAGCTTGGGTCTTTCTCAGATGCCTCTTCTTGGAGGGATGGTAGGAAAGAAGCCCAGTCTCTGAAAGGTCTAGTATGGATGAAAGGTCAAGATTTCTGGAGCCCAGCAGTTTGCAGATACTCAGATCCTCCCCAGCAGACAGAGGGCCCAGCCTGAGGAGATCATGAATCCCCAGAGTACAGCGTTGGTGTTTTCATCAGTCTCATTGTGTCCACACTTTCCTTACAGGAGCAGGAAAGCAGGGTGCTCTAGCAGATGTCTGAGTTGCAGAGGTAAGGCCCAAAACTGACTTGCAAAGGGAAGAAGAGGGAAGGAGGGCTAGAAAGCTAGATCAGTGAAACCACAACTCAGATTCTCTAGGTGGGTCAGTGGAGCCAGAAACTTGGGTTAGCGTGCAAATATGATCAATCTGAGTTGGAGTGGACCTCAGAGAACAGATGAGGGTACCGAGGCCTCGGAGGGAAATGACCTGCCCAGGGTCTCGCACAGAGTAAATGTGAGTGAAGACTTGCACCCAGGTCTCTGGCTCTGTTCTTTCCATTGGGTACTGGTTTTCTTTAAACAAGCCTATTCCATTTCCTGTCCTCTGTTTGACTCCTTCCTCCAGCGACTGTTCCAAAGTTGACCTTAACCTTTCATTTTTGTCACTGTCTAGTGTGTCCCATGAAGCCCTCTGTGAAAAGAGACCAAAAGGGCTAAATGAAGATTCTCAGGCTGAGGGGTGGCCCTGGGGCAAGTCACCTATGATAAAGCTGGGGAGTCCAATCAGACCTTCCACTTTCACATATGGAGGGGTGGTCTAACAGCAATTGCCCAGTGACCCAGGCAGGCTGATGTTCTCAAAGGCCAGATCACAGGCAATGGGGACGTCACTGCTTTACAAATGGCTGCAGGGACTCCAGAGAGCTGAACGATAACACTGTGGCTTAATTCAGCCACTGTTCTTTGAAGGAAGTGTGAGACAGAAGGACTCCAGGGTCAGGTGTCCACCAAGGGATCTGAGGCCTTCCTTACTGCATTCTCCTCTTCCCACAGGGCGACAACACAGTCTCATATCAGAGGGTAGAACTTCACATCTTGAGCAACTACGGTCACCCTGAGTATACCTGCATTTACTCATCTGGGTCCATGGGAAGTATGCCAATTAGCCCCTCCCCCGAGTCTCTATATTCCTTCCCTCTTCATCCACCTCCCCTCTACCAGCAAGCAGCTCCCCGACCTTCTCCTCCCTTCCCTATGGTTAATCTCTTTTGGACACTATGGCCTCTGGAAAAGAGACAGAAGGTGGGAGCCAACCTCCATGGATCAATCTTGCCCCACTGGACCCTCACTGATATGGAGGAGAGACCACCAGCTGAGCAACTTGTGTTTCATTCCCTATCCACCTTTCTTTTTTGGATTTTTGGTGAGGCAGTCAGGGTTAAGTGACTGGCCCAGGGTTACACAGCTAGCAAGTGTCAAATGTCTGAGACCAGATTTGAACTCAGGTCTTCCTGATGCCAAGGCTGGAGCTCTATCTACTGTAGCATCTAGCTGCCCCCTCCACTCCCCATCCTCTTGAGGGTCAGGCAGTCAACCTCCCTGCCAGGCTCTGCTCACCCCCAAGAGTTGTGTATATGACTATGTATTATATGTTGGGTGGGTGTGTAGGGAATAGTGAAGGCCTTGCTATGCTCAGCAGAAGTCCCACAGAACCACAGCTCTAGAAAAAGGAATTTGGTGTATTAAGGGCATGACAAATTGGACAGCTGCAAAGGGTGCCTAGTAGCCAGTCTGTCATTAGCCTGTTCCACAAGGTGGTAATGCCCCTCTCCATGGTACCTTTCATGGTTCTTTTCACCATTGGGCATGATGGGTGCAATCTTGACCTTGACAATGAAGAAATCAGGAAGAATGGACCTTGTCCCATTCAATCCCAGTTCACACTCCCCACAGACACCTTCTCACACTCTTGTGGCACTTAGGACAGCTCACTGGGCAGCTCAGGCCAAGTGCAGGACAAAAAACCTCAGTGGTGTTGGCTGACAAGCCCTCTGGGCTCCTGAATGACAGCAGTGATGACTGGAAACTTACCTGTTTGCTGGAGTCTGGCATCATCTCCAAGAGGTTGTCCACAGCCACCTGAAGACTCAGAATCAGAGCAATGGTCAGCATCTATCCCTGAGGCCTGCTCATGGATCTTCAGCCATTAGGACTCAAAGCACTCCCACAGTGCTTGGGGGGAAGCAGCTGCTGCTGCCAGAACATGGGGGCCTTGGAGGTTGGCTGCCAGAGCAAAGGCTTTCTTCAAAAGGAATCTTGGCTGGATGGAGAAAGTCCAGAACCAAAAAACATCACTTAGTTCAGTTCTCTGCAGGACATGGAATCAAACAAGCCAACATAGTCTTTGCTAGATAGTTTAAAGAGAGAACTGTTTTTATTACTGTTGTTGTTGTTGTTTCAGTGTTAAAAAGGAAACAGTCTTGCACAAACATTTCTATGTGCTGGGCTGAGTGCACCTCCTAGCACTCTCCCCCCAGCTCCCTGCTCCCTCCTGGTCCCCCCAAGCTCACAGGAGGCCTCTGAAGATGGGTCTTGTTGGTCACTAATTCCCACAAGTGAGCCACACCCCACCCACATGCCCCATCCAACACTTAGTGGGATGTCTAGGAACTCACGTGACCATCTCTCCAACACTGGACCAGAGTGGCGATGTTCAGTACGGTTGAAGCAATGCCATGTTCAGAATCTTGTCATGCCATGTTGATGTTGCTTTTTTCAGACCTCAGTGAACAGGTGCACAGGAGCCAGCCCTGTGGACTCATGATCAACTGATTCTGAATTCTGACAGTTTCTCAAGCGTCATCAACAGAGCTCTCCCAGAACAGCTATTTGGGTCATATAATGACCTTGCACCTCCAAGCCCAGTGCTGACACCAAGGGAAGACAATGTGAATGAAGAATGTTTAAAGGGTGAGGGTGAAAGGGGAGTGCATGGCGGATGGAGGTAAACAACCAAAATGCTAGCAAGGGAGAGAAGGACTAGAAAGAGGCCAGGGCTGAAGAAGGACCTAGTGATGGATTGGGTGACATCTTCATGTAGGCAGACTTCACTTTCCCATCTAACCTGGGAAGGCCCAGAGCAAGAGCAGGCCCTGCTCAGAGGTGGGACAATAATAGCTGCTGGGTAGAAAGTGGAGACAAGGGAAGCAAAGAAACTTCCAGATCAGTTTTTGTCTGCGTGGTTTTCAGCCAGGCCATATTGCATTTATTTCATGAAAAGCTTTAGTCTACCATGAATGCTATAAAAATTAAGGGTGGCCCTAACAACTAATATCAGAGTAAACCTTGGGATCACAGAGACTTTCCAAAGGACAAGAGCGAATTTCTGCCCTAGTACATTTACTATGGCAAATTGATTTACATTAGAAATGATTTTTCTTCCTATAATTAAAGCCAGCATCATTACCTCCTGGCTTCAGGGGATACTCTAAAGGAACCAAAAAGACAATAACAAACCAGAGTCCTAAAATGAACACAGACTCCACTCCAGTTCCTGCCGAGGCCCTTACCTATCTACCACACATGCAAAAACCAGGACCCTTGTTTCATAGTCACATGTTGGAGAAGACAAAATCACCTCTCAAGCCCCCATTTTCAGCCCAGAGAACTGCCCTGGCAAGGCTAACTGCCTCTTCCTGCTATTTGGCCCAAGCATTTTGGGTCTCAGAGAGGGCAGAGACTGCATGCCTACTATTGTACTGTGGCTTGCCAGCGTGGAAGCCAGAAGGCTGATTTTCAGTGGCCTGCAACTACTACAGACTTCCTGGTGTAGGTCATGTACAGCCACCAGATAGCTTCCCTGAAAAAATAATAAATTAAAAATTAAATTGCTGAGATTATTTTTTTTCTCTCTAGCCAGTTCTATGGCATCTGGCCTTCTGTTATTGGAACCCTGAAGGCTGCTAGGTACCATCTACTGGAATATTCCGAGCGCACAAAGTTCTGCCAAGCCAGGCAACCAAGCCAGAGCCTTAGAGGATGATGGCACCTGAGGTAAATGCAGGGTTGCCTCATTCTTTCTAGATATTGTCCACAGTGAGCCCTACAACCCAGAAAGTCTGCCAGAAGGCCCAAGACCTTAGAACAGAGGCTCTGTTTGGCTCTACCTGAGCTTCCAATGGCAAAAGGATCATGGCCTCCCAGAGTTCTCCCTCCCTCCCTGTCTGAACGAGATTGACTTTAGGCCCTGAACATGGGCACTCCATAATCAGGGAGGACCATTTCTGGGCAGCCTAGCCTGGCCTGGTCCAGGAGGAGTAACAGCATCTGGCTTTAGAAGGTTTGGACAGCTTCAGCTTAGGAAGTCATTTCACTGGCTGTAAGGAGACACCTAAACACCCATACTCATCATTTTGAAAATGTGTTCTTTGAAGAATTAGTGATGGCTTCCCAGCACCATTCTGCTGCAATAAAATGTCCTGTTGGGTGTTGAGCCCCTGGTTCTGCCTCAAAGAGGTGGCATTCTGGGGTGCCAGGTTAAAAGGTTCAGTGTCATTTTCCACCCCCCCCCCCCCCCGAAGGTGTGGAATAAATAGCAAGGGAAGCTCTCATGGGCCTAGCACAGAAAGACTTTTTGGCCTTCTTCTCCCTTTCCCTACAAGCTTATGAGCCAAATAGTGAAGGTATCATTTGTTCCATTTTACAGAAGAGGAAACTGAGGCTGCAAGAGGGGAGATGGCTTCCTTACAAGGCATCGCCTCCTAGTCCCAATGTGAGCAGCTGAATCTTCTTCTTCTGTACCCACTCCACTGTCTTGATTGCCTCATGATCAAAGTGACAAGAAGAACAACTGGCCTGTCACCCAGGGGATGGAGAACAGAAGAGAGAAGAGTCAGTGGGAATGGACAGAGATGTACTGCCTGCCCCCTAAAGAGACAAAAAGCACTAATGAGAGAAATTCCAATCCAAACAACCTGGAAGCTTCACCTCATGCTTCAGGGCTCTCTCTCCCTGTGTGAGTTAGCACACTCAGCTCAGACCATGATGCTTGGATTAAACTTATCTGGCCAGGGAGGGCACCTCAACTGGCATTGACATAATTCCAGGCCATGCTCCCCCAGCTAGCATAGAGTCCTACTGTGGTGGGCAAACTGCCCAGGCCCCAAATAAGAGAGATGGAAGAAAAGATCCCCATCAGAGGGGCGATGGGAAGAGGGGAGCACAGACACACTGTGGGTGGAGCCAGGACCTGGTCCCTCCATTCTAAAAAGCAATTGGAGAATGCTGTTTATACACACACACACACACACACACACACACACACACACACACACACACACACATATTGATGCTGGGATAGTACTTTGATCCCAAGGAGGTCAAAAAGACAAAGTAAGAATTTTAATTCTAATAGACAGCATTACTTTTCTGGTAAAGCAAAAAAAAAAGTGGAATTGAAAGGAATGCCCATTGGTTGGGGAAAGGCTGAACAAGGTGTAATGTGTAAATCTACTAGATTACTAGAAAGCAAAAACAAGAAAAGAGTGGTTTCTAGGGATGTGTGACTGCCCAGCACACCAGTGCTTCTTAAAAAGATAAGAGACCAAAAGAGTCCCTGGTTGTGAAAAGCACATGGCACATTTTCTCACTCTTCTCCCAGGTGCATCCCACAGCACTCACATTCATTCCCTCTGTGGGAAACAAGGTTCTGTTTACTTCATTCTGTCCTCCAAGTCTTCTCATGCTCCTGCAATTCTTCCTAGCTTTCATTTTTACTTTTTTTTTTCTTTTTTGTTGGGCAATGAGGATTAAGTGTCACACAGCTAGTAAGTGTTATATGTCTGAGGCTGGATTTGAACTCAGGTCTTCCTGAATCCAGGGCCGGTGCTCTATTCACTGCGCCACCTAGCTGCCCCCACTAGCTTTCATTTTTAAAAGAATACTAAGGGCCGCTAGGGGGCGCCATGATTCACAGAGTGCTTGGTCTACAGTCAAGAAAACTCATCTTGCAGAGTTCAAATCTTGCCTCAGGCACCATGGAAAATGACTCAACACCAACAATAAAGAATAGTAACATTCACTTCCATTGGGGTACCACAATTTTGTAAGATTTTTTTTTACATGGCCCTGAAATGCTAGGCCAACTTCAAACCAGCTCAACAGCTCTTCTCCAAAAGACTGATGGGAGCAAGGATGTGCATGAAAGACCCACCAGGAAGCTGTGCTCACTACCACGGGAGTGAGACCTGACATCCCCGAGGGCATGAGTCCACAGAAGTACCTACAATAAGTTGATGGGTCAGACAGGGTGAGAACTGGGATGCCCCACTGGCCTCTCCTGACCATGTGTCCAATGTGAAGTTCTGAAGTTAGGGCACCATCTAATGAAGACAGGGTACCTGTAATTCTACAACAGGGCAAAGCCTGAAAATGAACTTGTCCAAATGGGAATCTTCAAGACAAACTATAATCTGATGACAAGCAACAAATATTTAGCACCTACTGTGTGCTAGGCTTGATGCTGTGAGCAACTCTAATACTGCCTGCCCTGGAGCTTCCATTCCAGTGGGAGGAGAGAAGATCATATACATACGTACTCATGGATGTACTACACATGTACATTTGTCTACACAGAATAAAAAATAGATATTCGAGAATGGAGATCACAGCATTAGGAGCTAGGGGCCAGGGGAGGATCAGGAAAGGCTTCTCACAGATGCCTCTGTGGGAATTTTGAAGGAAGCTTGGGTTTCCAAGAGGTGGAGTTAAGGAAGAATATTCCAGACAGGAGGGGCAGGCAGTCTAAAGAAACAGAGACAAGAGATGACCTGCCATGGGAAAGGAATAGTAAGGATGCCTTTCAGGAAGGAGGGTAGCATGATGGAAGGGGGACGATGCACAATGAGGCTGGGAGGAGGGTTGATCAGGTCAGGCTGTGAAGAGCTCTCAAAACTACAAGGAAGAGTTTATAAGGGATCAGAAAGGACTCAGGGAGCCACTGTAGTTTCTTGAGGAGTGATAGGAGCAGATGCAATTCTAAGAAGTTCTCTTTGGCAGCTGTGCCTCCAGAGGATGGATGGGAGGGAAGGAAACCAAGCAGGAGCTTCTGCAACAGCTGAAGAGATGAAGATCTGAACTAGGATGATGGCTGTGTGAGAATTCAAAGAAAAAAAAAAGATGAGAGATGGAGAAAGTGAAACCCCAAGATTTGGCAGTGGATTGGGTACTTCACCAGAGGTAGAGTAAGGATCAGTCCATCCCCAAGCATTTATTATTGGGTGAGGAGAGAGAGAGAGAGAAATAAAGGAACAGGGCGGAGCCTTCCAAGGTGGATGCCAAACCTGCAAAGGAGGCTGAGAAATAGTTTGACAAGCAGGAGAAGAGGGAGGACAGAAGGCCCAGGAGGAAGGAATTGAGGGGCCTGACAGTGTGAGTGACCATGAGGACCAAGAAAGGGCCAGCTGCTGTGGAGCGCTCAGTTACAGATGAGTGAAAGAAGTCAGATTGCAGAGGTGTGACCCACGAAGGAGACAAGAGATGGAGGCAATGAGTAGCAAGAACCTTTCTGGGGGCTGGCAGCAAGAGAGAGGAGAGACATAGAAGGATTGTCTCCGGAGAGATGGTAAGATCAATTGAAAAAAGGGGGGCATATATGTGCAAAGCAAAGAAGTGATGAGTGTCTAGGGAAAGACTGAAGGAAGCAGGGCCAGGGCGGAGATAACTGAGGGAACAAAATGCTGCAGGAGACAGGAAAGAAAGAGAGCAACAGCTGGTCTGCTGAGAAGAGTTGCCTCTCATCAGAGCCTGGGGAAAAAAGGAAAGAATGGGTAATGGTGTGAAAGGGTTCAAGAGTGGAGAAGGGGAGGAATAAGAGTTTAGTGATAGAGGACAGCAAGCCTCCAGCCAAGAGGGGAGTGAAGGGTTACAAGAGGCCATGTTCTTCACTGGTCCAATCATGTATTACAGATGAGAGCTCTGTGAGGCTAAGAAACTCTACCCTAACCTTCAGCCTTTCGAAGGAAGGTCCACTGTCTGTTTCTTTGTGGAAATCAATCAACATTTAATAAGCACCTACCATTATGTGAAAAGTACTGGGGATACAAAGAGACAAAAGACCCTGCCTTCAAGGAACTTAAGATCTTACAGGAGAGACAATAAGCAAATAACAATGCCCCACTTAGAAAATAAACTTCTTGAAAACAAGGTCTAAAAATACTTTTTGATTCTTTGCTTCATGTAATACACGAGCCACATTTCATTTAGAGCCCAAACTAAAGACTGGAGTATAATAACAGCTAGAAAGCCTGAGCTCTCATTATCTCCATGTGAGCACTTTGGCCCTTTGCAGCAAATGGCCCAAACACTGACAGGGAAAAGTGTCTGATTACCTCCTCCATTACACAGCACAGAAATCCTGCCTTTCATGCTGGGTATGGCCCATGTCGGATCTCAGCAGGGATAGTAGGTTCATCCCTTCCTCATGCTCTCGTTCATGCCATTCCTGAAGCTGTTCCAGCTCCCCATGAGCCTCTGCTACTTCATTACTTAAGGACAAGACTTTTTCTTTCAACTGTCGGGAAGGAGACATAAAAACAACAGACACTCAGGGAATCATCACTGAAATGTGCTGCTGCCCCCCAGGAAAGAAGCTTCCTGAAACACTGCCCTGAAATGGTCTTCCAATGACAAAGTCAGGCTGTGCTGCTCCAGGCTTCCAAGGCAAGGCCTGTCTTTCAACACCATGGTCAACAAATGAGGCAGTGGCTCACCCACTCTGCTTTTCTGGTGGTTTCTCTTTCCTGAGTCACTATGTCAAGATAACACCTAGCTCTACCCAAAATATACACAACCACACACACTCACACACACACACACATACACACACATACACACCCCCCCCACATTATTAACAAAATTCTTCTATGAACAAGGTTACTGAACCCAAAATTTTATGGGGAGTGCAATGAAAACACAGCCCCAAAAGCCTCTTCTCTGGTGCATAAAGACCATCCTGAAAACAAAATAAAGTGATAGCAATGGCTAAAACACTCCCCTAGCACTAGCTAGAATCAGTTTGGACTTGAGCAGAACAGGTGTGGTGGAGGTCACTTTAGCATCTGAATGGTGAATGGACTAGAGCAAAGAGAAAATTGAGGAAGGCAGATTCCCCAGTAGCTATTGCAATAGTCTACAACTGAACTGATGAAGATCTACACTAGAGTGGGAATAGAGTCAGAGGACAAAATGGGGCATTTTGGAGATATGCTGCAGAGGTGAAACAGAGAAGAGTTGCTGTAGAGGTGAGGTTGGGTGAGGTGAGGCCAAGGAGAGGTTGAGAAAAATGGGGATTGAAAAAAAAGGCAATTAAGAGATTACTAGTGACTTTGGAGAGAGCAGTTTCTATGGAATGATAAGGTCAGAAATCAGAGCAAGAGGGGAGGAAGAGAATCTAAACCTGGGGTAGATGGGGCCCCTGGGAGTTAATCTCCAAAAAGGAAGAGGTGCTCAGGGGAATCCAAAACCCCAAATTGGCCGTGCATCTTTATCCCTTTGGAAGGGCA